CTGATGTATTTTCTTAATGACCATTTATTTTAAATGCAATTTAATTTAAAAACTGTGTAAGTTTCTAAATTACATTAAATTAACGTTTAAACTTTATTATTAACTAGCCGCCTAAGGCGGCCAGCTGTCCGCCACGCTGAAGGTTTTCACAAATAAAGTTTTTTAAAACATAGCAGGAAATCTGAAGATTAGTGGACAATTAAAGTGTTCCTGTCCTGCAATTTTGTCTTCATATCCAGTTCTGCTGCAGATGTGTTATAGCTCTTGAGGATGTTTGAAATTATATAGCTACAACGCTTAAGAAAAAAAAAACTAAAATGCTAAATACATGAAAAGAACACGAAAACGAATAAATTTTTTATGGTATCAATTTCTATTTCTATATAATTTTTTATGGTATCAAATTCTATTTCTATATCTGTTACGTCAAGCACTCAGGTATTATAATTTGATCTAGTTGTGCTTGTATAATTTTGATCTAGTTGCGCTTTCTACGTCATTTTGTTAACATCGTTTGGTTTGTTATTTAACATCGTTTGGTTTGTTATTTCTAAGTTAACTTTCAAAAAATTGGCTGGCATCAGCATTTTTATTCTTTAAGTTGTTTATTTTTTCTTTTGGAATTCGTTCCTTTTTAGCGAAATGTTTTTCAACCTAATCGAATTCTTTGCCGACTGTTCTCTGTATATATAAAGAAAATAAAGTAAATATTTTTAAAGTGTTGTGAAAAGAATTTTTAGTTGTACAAAGTACTACAATATCGCTACAAAAATTATCGTCTTCGCTTAAAAAAAAAAAAATAGAGCGTGGAAAGAAGAAGAAAAACTTATTATAACAATTATGAACAGCGACAAATATATCAAAGCGAAGCGTTCTATTTACGTATCGAATATGTTGCCACATTTTTAATACAAAAGTTAAACTTTTCTCCACTTTAATAAATGTAAACTAATGCGAACTTTACAATTAAATTATTAATTCCTTCGTATATTATTGGTTTAAGTTGTCGAAAATTAATATTTCAATTGTAAGGTTCGCATTAGCATACATTTATAAGAGTGGGGAAAAGTATATGCATTTTTTAATAGTTTTTTGAATATGGCTCTTTGAAGACGAAAAAGCATAGATTTTCTTACAAAATGACTGATAACTAAAAAACTAATCCAAATTTTTGAAAAAGAAAAAAAATACTTCTTCATTATGTCAAAACACAATTATGTGCCGAGTTTCGTGCCTGGGCGAGGCTTCTGGGGCGATATATTGTGATTACAGACACACACACACACACACAGCCGCTTTTATTATTATGTATAGATTACATAGTTATTTATGTCAAAACAGTTGAGGAGTTCTATTTAACCCTTTTTCACTTATAAAATTTAGGCATTTTATAGAAATCTATTAATACATTATAGTTTCGAAAAATATAAATGCAATATTCAAAAGTTATAAAACAACGATTAAATTAATTAGTAAGTTTTCAAACTTATTTTAATTGCATGAAATTCATCTTTGGACAAACGAGTTTTACAATTGTATGCGAAATTTTTTGCTCAAGTCGTACAACAAACATCAAAGCCCATATTTAAATTTAATGTATCTAAATTGTCAATCGCTTTCTTGACAAGACTATCGCTATACATTATGAATGTTATTACGTAATAAATGCTATTTAATTCATTTTTTTTCTAATTGCATGCAGTAATAAATCTTTCTTACTGCAAAATAAGACATATTTTCTAAAAATAAACATCTTCCCATTAATCTTTTCTATACGCGTTTATTGCATCAAGAAGACCTTAATATTCTGGTGGAAAAATACAAATCGAAGCATTCGATATCATGGAAACGGCGATTGCTTCGCCAAGTCACGTGGTTTTCGCCAAAAGTGAGATGATCGCGTTCTTTTAAACTTATTGACTCCCAGCTCTAATTTAACGATCATGGTTTCGAAAGGCGGCACAATCGAATAGTATTCATAGTAAAACGTTGCATCTAGGGAAAAAAACAATGATAGTTTTGCTATGTAAATTAAATTTTTATAAATTTTATGTACATACAGAAACATAATGAAAACATTTTTTGTAAAAATCTTTACATTTTTACTTGTACTCAAGAAAATATTTTGTATTGAAAACATTACGATAGGTGAGTAATTTTTCATGAAATATTAAAATCCTTTGCCGCCAAAATTTTCTTTTTTTAAATTTATTTAAAGCACTAAATATCAGTGCTTTATACTAACTGTGCATTAGTTCTTTTTCAAATATAGATTGATTTGTTGTTATTTAAAAAGTGAGTGAATTGTTTTCTATATAATTCGTTATAAAAATATTTATATATAGAATCTTTTAATGTAGTTTTTAACTTGATTTCTTCAGAGGAGTAATTTGTGAAGAAAAGGTATTAAAGTTAAAAAAAAATTAATTTTTTAAAAAAATTATTAAATTTTTTGAATTACTCAACAGAATAGAGCAGGAAATACAAAATATAGTTAATATCTAGGGCACTATAAAAATTAATTTAAGACTTAACAAGTTAATAAAAAAATTGTTTACCGATTTCGATATTTTATTTCAAATATATAGTTTATATATTAACTGATTCAAAACTAAGTTTATATATAAATCATTAAATGCACTTAATAAATAAGAAGAATAAGTTCCTTTAAATGTATTTAAAAATAAAATTTTATGAAAAAAGAACAGTAAAAAGAAATAGTTAAAATATGTTCTTAAGGTCGTTATATGACAAATAATTTTTTAATAAAATTTTTTTTATTAGTACAGAAAATCAAGAAGTACAGAAAGTATATAGTTTAGAGACTAATATATCAGAAAAAATCAAATCAAAAATACTTCTCAGAGTAAGTTTTTAATTTTAAAACTTTTCACAAAAATATTTGAAGATATGACATTTATTCATTATTAAAGGATGACATTTGGGAAGTTCTTCTAATTCTTATATTTTTAATTCTATAACTTTTATAACATTATTTAAAGCTAAGCTTTAACTCCTTTTTTAATATTTCGCTGAACTTAATGTAGCATAAGCTCTGCATTTTTTAGTGTAGCATTTGTCGAAAAAATAAAAAGATTTTTTTTTAAATTTGCTTTATATTTCTGATCTATGCATTCAGTATATGTGTATTTAGATTTAATGAAATATATTTTTAAAAGTTTTCATAAGTGAATTGATAAAATCAAACAGTAATTATTAATTTATCTTTAACAAATATTAATTTGTTTAATTAATTTGATTATGATGCAAATTTCTCATCTAAAATGTTTATATTTATTTTTAGCCTTTTCATTTTTTTTTTAAATTTTGCATACTAATTTCAATTTAATTTTGTATGTAAAAATACACACTCAGTAAATTTTTGATATTTCAATAAAATAGCACAATTTACAAAACAAGGTTATCTTAAACAATTAATATGGATAGAATTATTTTCGCTGTTAAAAGACCCTTTAATTTTCGAGCAGCATAAGTAAACACCCATGTATTATCAAGGAGTAAATTGCAAACATTTTATAGTTGCTTACTATTCATTACATTAATTAGTTTTCAGAGTTAATTACTTCCAGTTTTGTTAGTTATTAAGTTCATGAAAAATAAATGAATTAGTGCGTTGATAAAAATAATCAATCCCCTTAAAGAGAATAAAATTTAATTAATTGATTGAAACATGTATTTAGAAACTTATCAAGCATAACTCTGTAAAAATTGTGTTGTATACATAATACTGTAAGTACAGTATATGAAAGTTAAGAGAGATCTTCATCCAATAGTGAATGGATATTGGTTAAAGATTACGATGGTGATGTATAACATACATACAAAAGCAGGATGAATCAAAACCAATATTTGTAAGGGAACAGTAATATTCTTGCCCTAAGAACACAAAGGATTTTTTCGTAAAATTTATTTTTCAGTTAACTTCGAAGAACCCTATTAAGATTTTATTTTATTAAGTGGAATAAATTATATTACTTTCAGAGTAATGATAATTCAGAATACTAAAATCAAAGTCTAAAATGCCCTAATATTTTAGAACAGCATAAGTAGACACCCACACATTATCTAGGAGTCAAGTTACAAAAGAATTAATGCAAACATTTTATAGCCGTTTACAATTCATTACATTTACTCTTGTTTAGTATTGTTACTTTCAATTATGTTAACTATAAGTTCATCAAAACTGAATAAATCAGTGCGTTGTTGAAATTAATTGGTCCTCTACAAAAGAAGAAAATTCAATTGATTGAAACATGTGCTTAGAAATTTACTTAACATAACTCAGTGAAAATTGTCTTCTATACATAAAACCGAAAGCACGGTGTATGAAAGTTAGGAAAAGATCTTCATCCAGCAATGAATTGGTAGTGGTTGAAGATTTTGATGATGATGTATTACATGCATACTATAGCAGGATGAATCGAAACGAATTTTTGTTAGAGAACGGTAATATTCTTGCATTAAGAACACAAAGGATTTTTCGTAAAATTTATTTTTCAATTGACTTCAAAAAACTCTAATATGATTTATTTTATAAAGCGGCATGAATTATATCACTTTTAGAATATTGATATTTTAGAATACTGAAATCAGAATTTAAAAATAAAATTTGTTTTATTAGATAGCATAAATGATATAACTGTCAGAGTAATTATATTTTAAAATATTGAATACAGGGCTTGAAAATGAGACTTATTTCATAAACTGACGTAAATGATATTACTTTCAGAGTAATAATATATTAAAATATTTAAAGAAGAGATAATTATAAAACATTCGTTTTTTAGTATAGCCATGCATGCTAAACAAAACGTGCATTTTTATGCAGTATATATTGCCATTAATGATATTAATGTGTTCGTATTCAAATTTTTGCATTATTATTTGTTTTAAAAAAATCCTTTAAACATTTAAATATATATCAATAAAAATTAATAAAAACACAACAACAAAGTACAACAACAAAATCTCTTTTTCAGTACCCATAGTCGATCCGTCTGTTGCTCAAGGTGGAACGGATGATACAAGACTAAATATTGTCAACCTGAAATCAGAGCTTCAAGAAATAGCAGGAGATGATGCTACAATCATTATTGATAAACGATTGCATCCTAGTTTGGATCAATTACTTTTTACCGAAAAAAGTAAGTAGTCGTTTGTAGAAGGAGTGTATTTAGATAAATTAAGAAGAATGTGCGTGAATAAATTTTTCACTTTTAAAGTTAAATTTCCTCTGCTTATGTTAAACTTCATGTGCCTAAGTTAAACTTCATGCACCTAAGTTAAACTTAATGTGCTTGAAGTTAAATTTAATGTGGCTGAAGTTAAATTTAATGTGCTTGAAGTTAAATTTCATGTGCTTGAAGTTAAACTTCATGCGCCGAAGTTAAACTTCATGTGCAAGCTCAATCTAAAAAACATATAGATATAATTTTGCTTTACAAAGCAGAGCAAAAATCTGAGAAATTTCCTGTCATTAAATAGTTCCAAGAGTTTCTATTAAATAATTTAATTGTCAGAAATTAATTGCATCCATTTTGAGCAAAAAAGATAATAAATAGCATGATATAAAATACATATAAAATTGTTAAATTAAATTATGTAATTTTACATGGCAAAGTGCAAATTTGAATACAATTTCGATAAAGTCATAAGTGGTCAAAACTACCAAAATATGGTGACATTTACATGTTTCTGCCTCTATGGGAACAAAATAAAACTCATTAATTTTTACCGAAACGCTTTGGAAATGCTTTGGGGAATTAACAATAAAATATAGTTTTATAATTTATGATAAAATTTGGTTTAGTTAAATTTACTCTTCAGTTTTGTATTATTACTAAATGTGTGATAGTAAGAACTATGCTTTTGAAAACCAGAATTTTAGGTAAACCGTTACCATAGGAACGGAAAAATTACTAAAGAATGGAATAAATTCCGTATGTTTTGATTTCTTGGGTTTTTTTATAACAAGAATTATGGCAAGTCGTCAACATATGAGCAGAAAAACTACCAAATAAATGGTTTAAATACCATATATTTTTGTTTCATTAACCAGTATTATTGTTTTCTTTTTTGTACCAAAATTGTCATTACTTCAGAATATAGTAATTTTACCACATTTTATTTCTCCATGTAGAAGTAAATTTGATATCAAAATCTAATTTATGTTTTGCATGAAACTGTGATAAAGATTTGAATTTTCTCCAAAAGTATATAACAGAATTATGTGAATTTACAATTTTTTTTAATTAATTCTTTTGATTTTCAGTACAAGATATATCAGCAATCATCAGCGTTGTAAAATGCGCATCCTATTTATATGATATGAATACTGTATCAATGACCTTAAGTGACACTATAGCTTTAGCCGTTTTGGAAAGAGGATGTCCAAGACCTACTTTCGATGTTGGAGTAGGAATTCCATATATCACAAAAACGTATGACATCGTGCCTTTACTTGTGGACCTGAGAAGTGACAACAGACTCATTGAAAAATGGGATGATATAGTTATACTTTATGATGATACTATAGGTAAGCTACTATAACTTTTTTTGACCTAAGATGTGACATCAGACTTATTGAAAAATGTGATACCATACTAGTCATACTTATTGATGATATTATAAATTTTATTTATGGTAAGATACTATAATTTTTATCTGATCTAATATAAAATATCTGAGAAAAAGTAATTTTTCAATAAGTTAAATTTGAATGAGATTTAGTTAGAGTTCCTTAATGAATGCTTCGGATGGAATGTTTGAAAAATCCAATTCAGCAGAGCAATACCTCTTGTTTGGATCGGTTACAGCATAGATCTATAGTTAAACTAGAATCAGTTGTGAGAAAGTCTATTGTGCATTGTTAGCACCACACCAAAAGCACAAATCTGCAAATTTGGTGATTTTCTATTTTTTTAATTGATCTAGTACACTACAACATCTAGCACAAAACTTTTTAAAAATCACTTATCAGGAATCTCATGTAAATTTGCAAAGAATTAAAAACTGAAAGCTTCTGTAAAAATACAGAAAAACATTCGTAGGAGGCTTAATAATTTTCAAGGAAAGCAATTAAAACTCTATGAACTACATACCAGCGCGTAAACAATAAGCTTTTTTCTGACTCCACCATAGATATTACATTAATGTTTAATATGAACCTCTAAGAAAAAATCGGAGAAAATGTAGTTGGATCAGACGCCCAGTACTAGCACGGAGAATTGAAATCGGACCGAAACCGTGGTAGGAGGAGGCTCAATCCACCACGCCGAATTTTGAGGATGTGAAATTGTAAGTAATAACTCTAGAAATAAATAACAATGCATTGAAATACTAGAAAAGAAATTCTTTAGAAAGAAATACTAAGAGAGAAACCGATATTTTCAGTAACTATCTTAACGACAATCTTGGTTTTATGTGTTTGTACAAAAATTTGGAAAATTTAACGGCTATTCTTGTTTTCCTCTCTGTACTTATACAGAATATTTTACTGTGTACGGCAAACGTAAATGGTAATGTCACAAATAAGTGGAGCAAATTGGTAGTAGCGCAATTTCTTATTATATTTTTTGTTCATATCATTTTATTTTGCGACTTCTTAGTAATCATGTCTGACAGAGAGCGAATGAACGTATTTGGGCTTCTCCTATCACATACTTAGATTACATGGAGATTGGTTGTTGTTGTTGTTGCTAATTTACGTCGCACTAGAGCTGCACAATGGGCTATTGGCGACGGTCTGGGAAACATCCCGGAGGATGATCCGAAGACATGCCATCACAATTTTGATCCTCTGCGGAGGGGATGGCAACCCCGCTTCGGTAGCCCGACGACCTGCGCGCGAAGTCGAGCACTTTACGGTAGCACAGTTTAACGAGGACCAATACCGCACACTCTCGGTCCCTACGCAGACTGATCCAAGTGGTCACCCACCCGCACACTGACCGCAGCCAGTGATGCTTGACTTCGGTGATCTGCTGGGAACCGTGTCTTAACGATCAGTCCACTGCGGGACTACATGGAGATTGGATTGGAACTATTGCAGTAGTCTAAGCAATACCTATGAATCTTTAAACGAGTAACATAGTAGCAATAGAACAAAATTTTCTGATAAAATTAAGAGAATAGCACTTTTAAAATGACAAAGGGTGGGCTATATTGCTCGAAGAACTGACTAATACTCGGACTGGTATCCTCGTAGGATCGAATGACTAAAAACAAGCGAGTCAAATAGATTTGAAAAAGCAACATGAGCAAATTGGAAAACAGAAACTACAAATCGGAAATTTTAGAAGAAAATAGGAATTTTTAGAGTTAGAAGAAAACTTTTGACCAGTAGTGGGTTAACAGTTGAAGATGATGATAATTGATAGAATTGTAAACTGTAAATACGTTTATCTCATAAGTACACTGAGAAAAAAAAGGATAGTCAAAACTACCAGAATACGGTAAAAAAAAATTCTTGTTTCTAGCTCTATCGGAATACAAAAAAGCTCGATAATTTTTTCCGAAGCGCTTTGATAATAATTTTGATAGAACTACAATAAAATATGGTTTATAACATGCGATGAAATTTGATAAATGTGGCAAAATTTTGCAGTTTTATCATGATGGCTTAGAACATAGTATAAAAACCCTTCATTCAGTTAAATTTACGTTTCAGTTTTGTATTTTTTTCTCAATGTGTGGTAATAACTGTAATTTTGAAAACCAGAATTTCCTGTAAGTCATTGTCATACAAAGGGAAAAATTACCAAATGAATGGCTTAAATACCGTATATTTTGGTTTTATTAACCAGTATTATGATTTTTTTAAACCAGTATTATGGTTTTTTTATGGTTTTTAGTATCAGTTTCATGTAATACATTTTGTTTCTCCCTGTACCTCCTCGCACATTCGTGATTTTGGCGTGGTGCTAATGATATAATATATCTTTAATAAAAAATGTCATAGAACCATGCTTAGACTAAAAGCTGTAGCTTAAATGGTAACCATAAAAAATTGAACTGAGCTTTTTTCTCACATAAGATCTCAATTCCCTGGAGACAATTGTGAGCATGTTACAATCAACTGGAACGAAAAAAAGAGCCACCACTTTAACATTATATGGCGTATGCCGAGGAGAACTAATATGTGAAGATATGACAACTGTGATTCGAGAATGTCTTACTCCTTACATAGCATCTGATTCGCAGAAATATTTCATGGTGCTGTCAAGAGAAAAAACTTTTAGAAAAATTATTGACCAAGTAAGTTATTTTTTATTTGTGAGTCATTTTTATCGTTAAAATTGAAAGGCGATTCGTGAACCAAAATTAATTTCCTCTTCGTTAGAACTGCTATTAATAAGTGAACAAAACAATTGAATAACCGTTGCTTATGTTAAAAAAATTAAAATAAATTCTAATGAAGGTATGCTTAATGAAGATTCTCTAATTGTACGATTTAGATATATTTTAAATTATTAAAACATGATTTGACATGAACTGATAACTTAAATAACCTGTCATGTAAATTTGGAAATCAAAGAACCAGATGAACTGGATTTTAGGGTAAATAAACAATAGATTATTAGCCTAGTAATTCTAGAATAATTCAATTAAGTTTCCATGAATTGTTTAAAAATTGGTATGATGATTTCTAGTCTTATTCCTTCATCATCAGTCTAAGAAACAAAGCCAAATGTATAACAGAAATATTTATGAAATTACTTTGCGATATAACTTCGATTTGCGAAATTATAAATACCAAGGTGCGATCTGTGTTTTTAGTAAAACTAATATGCTAAAAATAGAAAACAGCTACAGCAGAAAGTATTTAGTTTAATTTATTTTGCAGTAAGAAGTAGTGGCATTCAAGGTGCCTGTACTTTTTATCGTAAAATCTATTTTTACTGAATCATGTTACTGAACAAGAAATCTGATATAACTTAATTTTTACAGTATTAGTTACGTAAAGTACGGTATAATATTTTACGATTAAAACGGATTTTATAGTTGAATGTATTTTACTGATGATGCACCCAAAGAGCCAGCATATTATACCGTAATTTGATTTGGAGTTTTTCACAGAATAAGAAATGAAGGAAAGATTTTTTGAATGCTTTACTTTGAAATTATGTATTGAAAAATAGTCGACTTTTGAGCTTCATTGTCAAATTGAACATACGTTCGTATCTATTGGTATATGATAATAAATTATAAACTGTTTTATAAAATATTTAAAAAAATTTACATTTATGACTAAATCTAACTAGATAAATTCCTATATATTTTATAAAATTAAATAAATGGTAAAATAAAAACACACGCATGAAAATAAAGTAATAGCATTAATTAATATGTCTAGACAATTCGTTAGAAAGAAAACTTACACATTAATGCAATACAATAATATGTAAATTCTCTGCACTATAACGAAAAAACGTAGTTTAATTATACCCTAACCATCAAATATATAACAAAATTGATAATGTAAAATCTTTCTCAAGTGTAAAACATTTTCGATGCATTTTTATGACCAAAGAAATTAAAACAGTTGGTTAAATAAAGATTTTTTTGGAAATATAATTTTTATTAAGGAAATCCAATAATTTTTTGTATCTTTGAATTCAAATATATGGTAAACAGCTTTTTAAGTAAGTCTATATGGTTTAGACACTAAATGCTAGAAAAAAAAGTCACGCAAATTTGTTTATGTTACACATATTAGCGTGACTATCACTCAATAAGAAAAACATTATCCAACAGATCAGTTTTTTATTCTCGAAACTAACTTTAATATTCACGAAAAGTTGCTTTTAGCGTAAATTTTTATCAAAAGCTCTTACACACAAAACCGCATAAAATGTATAAATATTAAACTTTATAAAATAAAACAAGTATGACAATATGCACAGTTAGAATTTTCATTCTAAAATCACGGTGAAATATCTGTCAGCGATCTGTCCATCCAATTAACGTTTACGGTAAAGAACACTTTTTAACTTAATGGTTTTAAAACCGTTTACAACTAGTATGGTTAAGAAACCATGAATGCAAAACTCTACACTGTTTTTTAACCATTTAGAACTAGAACGGTTACAAAACTGTAAAAAAAGAAATTTGAACTAGGGTTTAACTAGTTTATCTGGTTGTTTCACCTATCAAAAAAGATGGGAAATACTAAACTTTATTGTGTTAAGCAGCTTTATGGTGCTGCCACCTATGCGAGTTTCACAAACTGGGGAGTTTAGGACACTGTAAACTGTTCATGCGCTGAAGGGAATATAGGTAATGTTGTGGTATCAACGCTAGGACTCGAACTTTCATTCTGTCTGTCATGAAACTGACAGATTAGCCCTCTGGGCTATAACATTTACTCCGCTGCAAGGAACAAAGTGGCTTCATTAGGTGGCTCTAGCTGGTGCGATAAAATTCTGGTTGTTTAACTTTATCATGTGAGCGCAGTAAATAAACAGCTTTTCTCCCAGTTAATAGTTGAATACCACCTTATTTATGGTAATTTGACTGCTTCGTTTGAATATGGTAAAATAACAATTAAATAAATTGTTATTTTATCCATTTTTTCTGACAAATTTTTGACAGTGGTTGTTAATAGGTTTTATAAAAAGAATGTACTAGTATGATTTACTAATGCGTTTCTTTCAAAAAATTAAAGCAGTCGAAAAAGCATTGGCAAAACACATGCACCTTGATGCTACATTTCTTACTGATTAGAAGATTTGAGAAATTTGTATATTTACCCATAAGTTAAAAAGTATGCATACATTTTTCAAACGCATTGGTATTACGAAAAAATCATGACCGAAATATGTCATAAATAATTCTCAATTTATGCCTGTAAGACTAAAATAAAGCAAAATTGCTTTTGTCCTATGATTATACACTAAAGTAAACTATTCAAAGTCAATAATGGAGAGAAATAAAATCTCATTAAACGGAAAAAATAGGATTATAAGTGCTTTGACATTTCCAAAACTGAAAGTCCAATTGCAATGCAATGATAAATCATACTTTTTAAAAAAGCCACTTTTTTCAAAAGTGACTTTTTGTAATATATATATATATATATATATATAAGAAAAATAGATAAATTTAGAAACATCTACAAAAAAAGGAAGGAAAAAAGTTTAATAAAAAGATACAGAAAAATAGAAGAATAGTAAGAAAAAGTTCTTACAGAAAAATTATGGCCACAGTCATGTTCGATCCCGCTATCTTCTGAATATGATATCACGGGGAGAGCAATCTTTTTCTTTCTGTTAAATAAAGCATAAGTTTTTTCGAAGGGTCGAAAAACTTCTGAAGCGACCTTAAAATTAATAATATTTTTCAAATCTGCGCATAAAAATTAATATAAAGTAGTTTCGTTAAATATAACAGTTGTATGTTGCAGTTGCTGTGATTTCCTTGTTCGATATGAAATTCTTTTTACTAAGTCGAATAGGAAATACGCAAAAAATAGTAAATATGTCAAATTAAAAAAAGTCTTTGGAAATTTTTAGTTTTTGCTGTTTTATTCCTCATACATTAATTAATTATAAAATTTTGCCGGCATTCTTAATAACAAAAAATTATCTTATTTTTTGTTGTGCTTGAATTTTCCGGTTCAGTTTATTAATTTCATTTTATTAAATAAAAATTGTTTCTTACGATTAATATTTGTTAAGTAGATGTAACTATTGAAGATACTTGCTTCTGTTTTATTGTTTTGATTCATAATTATCGTTCTAGGTCAAATATTTTATGAAAATTATACATTTTTTAAGAGTTTTGTCTATTTTATTTCACTATTAAAACAGTGTTCTAAACTCCTTTAGAAATGCTTTTTTATTGTTTTCATAAGACTCATTTAAAACAAACGTGCCTTTTTAAAAATGAAAATACACTTTATGAACCATGTTTGCATTTAGCCAGTTATCATGAAAAATATTTATTGTTTAAATAAAGAACTATAATGGTGCATAAATCTGTGGAAATACAAGCTCTTAAAAGGATTTATGATTGTTTCGGGATTGCAAAACAACGCTAAATTAAAAATAAAAATAAGAAAGTTGCGAATCTGATATTAATTAATTCTACTATGAGTAAAATATTTTGAAACAAATTTTTCGGGAAAGAATCATATGTAATTTTGAAATATGCTAATAAAAAGACAAACTATTTTTGAATATTTCTTAAATTTGACAGAAATTCAAAATATAAAATTAGGAGATTAGTTTTAAAACTTAATTTTATCCAACTGAATAAGACGAAAGTTAATGGAATTTAACAGAAAATAAACTCCTTTGCAAATAAAAAGTTTGCAAAATTACTAAAAATTTTGTTTTAATAAAAGTATAGTTTTGATTGTTATAAATTTTCTGAGCTACAATCCCGATTTATGTTTGGATTCAACAACTACAATTATAGATAATTTATGAATTTCTCTAATTTATGATTGTCTGATTACCGTCAAGGGTAATTAGACTATCTACCCATTAATTTTGCCTTTTTAAGCATAATAGAAAATGTTTAAATACCTATAAGAATAACTTTACAAATCACATACATTTTCATGTAATTACTTTTCTATAATTTAGAAAGCACGTGTTATACACAAAGTTAATTACATTTCATAAGACTTACTTATTTTTATGTATCTCAGTAACAAGGCCTGGCATGAGAATGCGTATAATTATTTTTTAATAATTTGCCAACAATACTGTGTTAGCAAATTATTATCTTCTTATTTTATCGTTAATTATTTTTTGAATTTAACATTTATTTTGGAGATATCCCCCAATCGTTTTCTATATCACGGAACATTCAAATAAGATAATTTTCGAACGAAAGTATTGATCAATAATTTTGGTCACGCCAGTGTAATTGGTCCATTATCGGATCGGTGAAATACCCGCAAATATTCATCGTACTTCAAATATAGATCATTACCGATGTAGTTAAAAAGAAAAGCAAAAGCATCGAACGAAAGCTCAATCAGTCAACAATTGCAACACTTACAACACTGCTTCGTTCCCACAATCTGTAAAATGATCTTATTGGAAATAACTTACATGTAATGTAAATTTAAATATAGTAATGAGTGTAATACTTTTCTAGTGCTTATATTTTTGAAGAACGCATTGAAATACAGCTAGTATCGTATTTTTGTTTACTGTTTCGTGTGCAGATACGAATAATAGAAAAGCAATTTATGCTTGTTTAAATTTTAAAATTTGGTTGTATGAAGGTCATTTTAAACATTTGTCATTGTCGAGTTTTGAAAGAATTCTATATAATTTTCCAGAACGAATAAACAAAGAAAAATTATTCAAATAAGTTTTAAATTAAATTTTACACGATTAAAGTTTTCTCTGTTGTGACGCATTTCAATACATATTTTTTCAGAGCACAGACTCCAGAGTAATAAAATTTGATTAAAGAGTTTAAAAGTCACACTCAATTAAAACTTGATATCCTAATCTCGTTTTCTTAAAATATGTACTTGACCTGCATTTGATTTTTTAAAGTATAAAAATGAGCCTGTATAATTACTTAATAAAGGCTTATTTTCAACCTTTATGTTAACAAACTCAGTTTCCAAAGGCTGCTTATTCCTATTGTCAAATTATATTAATACTCTGTATTTCGTAGATGCGTGATAATAAAAACTATAATTTTGAAAACCAGAATAGTTTAAATTTCTTATGAATAGTTTAAATAACATTAGTTTGAATACCTTATAATTTGGTTTTATTAACCAGAATTAGGAGTTTAGTTTCACAGAAATATCATTACCGCACAATACGGCAATTTTACTAGATTTTTTTTCTGCGTGTAAATAGGATTTAAGGGACCTTTTAATTGGTTATTTGCAACTCAAAAAGAAGAGAGAGGATTATGCCTAACCATACGATTCAAATCAGATTTAATTCAATCAATCAGATCAATCCTGTAAGCGACGTCACTCGTATGTGTCGAACCTGATTGGCTTCTGAATCAACAAATGCCATCATTTATCTGAGAGGACGTCCCTTGTAGGTCATTGCCATTTCTTTTTCATTAAACATAAATATCAAATTAGTAGCATGACATAAACTTCTATAGTTGAAAACACGAATTGTTTACTAAATTTTAAAAATCATCGCGATCTGAGAATAGTTAAAGTATAAAATAAGATCAATGAAGAAGAAAAAAAGTTAAAATAAGAATCATATACATAGCTTTTCGAAATAATTAAGTGCAGGTGAATAAAGAAGCTAATGGAAAACAAAACTTTTATCTATTACTTCTGAGAAAACTTAAGGTTTAGAAACCATTCCTGAATTGAGAGTTTTGAATTGAGAGGCATCTCAACTATGGTTGGTATTTTTTTCCATTCAAAAAAAGTAGATGACAACCATACTCCCATACACTTAACAAATATCAAGAAGCAAAAGATATTAAGAACAGGTGATAAGTTTACCCAATTGGAAAATTGCTAGGAAAATAAGGATGAGCTATAATCTTTATTTCCTTAAACATTTTTAATTTTATTAATGTAAGGTTTACTATTTAATTTTTTTTAAAAAAGAGGCAGAAAAATAAAACTGTAACTAAATTAAATTTTAAAATTCGCTTTACTTGTTCGAATTTCTTTTTCTTTTAGCATTAACTAGTTACACAATTAATCGCGGACAATTTTGTCTTTTTTTCTTAACTTACAAACATAAAATAAATGTCACCGTCAATGATTATTTAATAAACTGAACAAAATATTCTGATGGTAATCTTACCTACTAATAATATGCATACGCTAAGTAAACCACTAAAAACTAACAAAAAATTAAAGTTATCAATTACACATGTATTTAGTTTCACACAATTTACCAGTCATTGCATATTTAATATGCAACAACCATTGTATTTGCTTATTTTGTCTTCTTATTATTTCTTTTGATTATATTCCTTAGGCAAAAAAACTTACCATGATGGAGGCGGAAAGACATTGGCTATATATTGCTACCGAAGTGCCAAATGACGTAGAGTTTGTAGATGATATTACAAATTTACCCCCTGAATGTAATATGGCTTTAGTTTATCCTGTAAGCCCGAAGCCTGAAGAAGAAGGCTGTTTGGTAGGTATTTGTACTGATCAGCGCTACGATAAACACTAAAACTGTTAAGTAAATATTACGAAGTTTAACAATTAAAAGATGTAACTCTTAAGAAAATATTATGAAGTTCTAACTGTTAAGAATTATATTTTTTTTAAATTGCTTCATTACTTTAATCTATTGATAATGATAACTCTTTAAAAATTGTTAAAAACATTGAATTTAAGAATAGGTAAACAATTTTAAACAATTAAAAAATCAACTGCTAGCACTAAACTGCACACACAATATAATATTTTATATAAAAAAGAAACTAATCAAAGCCATATACAATCCACTGAAAACATTAATATAAAGCTCTCAATTACCAAAATCGTTCTTTAGGTTGTAAATTTTATTCTGCAGTCTTGTTTTATTAGCTTTCCTTCCATTCATATGCTGATTTCATCTAAGTTATGATATTAACGACTTTCAAACAAATACGTATGATGCAGTATGTTATCTGAAAACTAAATTTCATTAGAAATATTTTCCTTAGTAGTTATGTCCAAATCTTATTGTCGCCCGGTGACTGAGCGGTAAAGCTTCGCGATCCCGTGCCACAGGTCCTGGATTCGGGCCGGGCAAGGTTGACTCTGCCTTTCATCCATTTAGTGGGATAAATGAGTACCAAGCATGCTTGGGAACTAAACACTGGGAGTTCCGTATTCGGCTGACCACCTAACTGGAACATTTGCTCCTGCACCCCAGAGCCGAAAGTCAAGAAAACTGAGATGGGCACAGTAGGCCTTGGCCCTCTATGGGCTACCGCACCACTGAGTTTAGTTTATTGACGTAGAAATAGTACTTTTTTGATTTTGTCTATCCAACTCTTGAAATTTTATTGATTAACATGCGTTATTGTAAACAAGTGTACAAATAATTTCAAGGACACCAAATAAGTGTAATAGAGTGTTACAGTAGAAGTTCGAACATCCAATTAATTTAATAACTTTTAATTAAAATGTAATTTTAATGTAATAATTCAATAGCATCATTTTAGACGAAAAGAAATTCAAAAAACAAAAAACTAACAGTAAAAAAAAACTAATTATAAAGGAAGACAAAAACGCTTTTATTAGCTTTGCACATATTATTATATTTCACAACATATATTAAAAATTTTATTTCTACACTTGAAATCTCGAATTTCCAGACTTGATTTTTTTTTTATAACTGAATCGCAACTGTGCTTCGGTTTTTCATTTTTACTTATAAATGAATCATTTTATTGCTTTTATGTATAGAAACCAAAAGGATGCCAGCCAAGTCTAATTTTAAAGGCGTATGTTACAGCCATTCGAGAATTGATTCAAAAAGGGCTGTACGATATGACTACCTCTGAAGCTAAATCAATGACAAAATCAAAAATACGTAGTTATACGTTAGTAAGTATATATTTTATTTTTATTTTTAATATTAATAGCTGAAAAAGACGGATTAGTCTTTCATTAATATTTATTTATTTAATGCAACAAATCGTCGCTTTGAAGCTAAACCGTAGTAACTAAAAAAAATCGAAAAATGAGATATTTGGGTCATTTTGTGTAAAAAAAACCACCCTTTTAGAGAAACAACGTGTTATCTTCATAGTTCCATAAAATTAATTTGGAAAGTACATAAATCGTTATCGCGTTGGCGCGATTCACCATCTTGGTTTTAGGGAATAGTGTAGCAGTGTGCCAGTTGTAACAAAACCTTGGGGGAGATAACGTCGCTTTGAAACTATACCGTGGTAACTTAAAAAAGCAAGTTTTTCAGGTGTGAACGATTTTTTCCCTACACTGTTGTATGCCAAAATTTGAAATGAAATATCTAATATTCGGGAGAACATTTTGAAGAACATCATTGTATATTTAAATAACTCTCCACTTTTAATAAAAGTTTTAGAGAAAAGTGCTGCAACTCAAAGTACCTTAACTTATTTCGAAATTACCACAAAATTAGAAATGCTAAAAGAATCAGGCCTGGTTCATTGAAAAATGAAGCGAAATAGGTTTTTTTTAATGCAAACTATTTTGCAATAGTCGCCATAGCTTCGTGTCAACCTGCGGTGGAAGTTCCTGAAAAGTTAGAAATCGCTCTCCTGAGAAACTTGCTTTTTTGAGTTACCACGGTTTAGTTTCAAAGCGACGAAATGTGTTATCATCCTTCTGAAGTAAATAAATTCGAACTAATGGAATATACTTGATTTAGTTGCAATAATAATATTTAGTTTCTAACGAAATCTCTTATAACTCGATTAGGATAGTAAAATTATTTATTCAAGAAATCAAAATTAAATAGGTCAATCTTTTGATTATGCTAAGAATTATTTGAATGAAGGATATTTCCATGAAAAATTTCCAAAAAATCAATTTATTTTACAATAGAGAAGGTTGTCCTAAATGTGAAAGTTGAAATTCACATAAAAGTCATATATGCACCGCTTTGAGAATTGACAGGTAATTGGAGAAAATTAGCTTATGCAAAACCTGATTCCCTAAATATTACTAAGGTGAATCATTCCTGACCCAAATACAGAGTACATGAACGGAAAATCTACCGAGTAGCAATTGCTTTGAAATCTGAGTGTGGTACAGGAAGTTAAAATAATTATTCTGACAGGGTTTTCAGTTTTTTGAGTTCACTTAACTTGCAAGAAATATCAGTCATAACGTGAACGATAATTTAAACGAAAAAGATGAAATAACCAAAATCAAAAGCGCGTTTTGAATGTTGAAGCTCTAAAACCTCTGGAACTCTCTAATCTTTTAAACACTTCAAGCACCCAAATTCACTTTACTGCTTCGAAAGTACTTTTCTGATCTAGGAAGAAAGTTATATTGAGAATATATCCTGTGACTACGGCATGTAGCAGAGTTTCAGAAAAATATAACGTATTTCCTTATTGCAATTACTTGCAGTCAAGATTAAATGTAATCAATATTACTTTGAATCATAACTAATGATGACTTCCAACTATTTATACAATTGTTATCGTAAATAATAAAAACTTAAAATCACGGTTACAACTATAGTCATATATTATGGCCAATTTGCAATTATGATTGCAATCATGATTGCAAGCATTTGATTATTTGAAACCAAATTTATTGTAATCATCTCTAACTCAAGTTGGGTGGTAAAAGCTGTGATACCATGACAAAAATTTTTGTTTCCTAACTTATGCGAATTTTAAGTTGAGCAAGAGAGTATAAAGTGACTCAAAGTGTGGTAAAGAGTGACAATTTTCTTAGCATAAAGATTAGTTTTTACCATTCTGACAGTTTTGGTTTAAGTAATGATAATGGGGAAAAAAAGCTTGCAGTTATATTGGTTCTGATAATGCTGGGAAAAAAATTGGATATAAAAAGACAGTTCTGGCCTATACTCTAATTTTAAAATGCTGAAGCAATTTTTTTAAATTTTTTTGTAGGAGAATTTGAAGAAAGAGACTGATTGTGGTGGTTGTTTTATGGCAATGATTAAAACAACAGCATATCTCAAGCCAAAGACTGAAACAGCAGAAGCTCTAAGTGATTATGAAACTGTTGGCACTTGGAGCTTATTGGGTGGTATTCAGATGAATGGACCTCTTTACCCTCTAAGCACCGGAAATTTAAGAGGAAAGCTGGTTAGAATAGGCATCTTTCATGTAAGTAATTTTGTTCATGACTTATAAAAAGATATGTTCTCAATTCTTAACCATTAAGTTATTCTACATTTCTCTGAAAATCAGTGGAAAATAATATTAAGTTTTGAACTTATTTTATTTATTCATTTGTGAATCAAGAGGAAGTTTTATTTGGGGATAAGAAATTACGAGATCACCATTTAATACACTCGGAGTGGTAAGTGAGAATGAAACAATTTATGACAATTGTGTGAAATATTTATGACAATTACGGCTCTACCTGAACCCTAGCAACAATTTTACCATGGCAGCAGTTAGGCTCAAATTTGACGCAGTATATAGATCCTATAAAAACCTGCACAGATGGACCAATATTGGGATGTCTAGTTTTTTAATGTTGGTCCTAGAATGGCTTTTAATATCGGTCAATAACAATTCTATATAAGGCCGATATTGGTTGAAAAGTAGCTGGAGAATATTGGGTGAAATGGATAACTCTGTATAGGGCAGATATTGGCTGAATAATGGATATGAAATATTAGGTTAATCTAACAATTTCATATAGGGCTAATATTGGAAAAATATCGGTCCTTTTTACCCTTATTGAGTCAATAATGAATAATGGTCCAGTGAGGGCCCAAGTTATTTTTCTGCAAGGGAAGAAATGGTACTTACCATCCGTGAGTATAGAACTTTCGTGAGTTAATTAATCCTTGAGTATAAACTTATTAAAGTAGCAGCATAGGACTCAGCGATATAATTACATGTGGCTTTCACATGTAGTCAATGGTGCCATGTAGTTCACACCACTTAACAGAAGCTTTCTTTATAAGCAATTAATTATGAATAAAGTAAAATGAAGCAAACTTTTTATTGCGTTTACCTCTAACCATTTTTAATCATCTGGTTATCGACTGGCAAACGACCAGAGACAGTTTTGGGGAATTTTTCTGTTAGTATTCCATTAGCCTTACTGAATGAAAATTATTTATATAATTATCATAGTTATCATAATTATCATAGTGAAAATTATCTATATAATTATCATAGTTATAATTATCATAGGGAAAATTATCTATATAATTATCATGTATTTGTAAAATTCTTATAAGGAAATGTAAGAAAAATTATTACTACTTACTTAATTATTAGGCATTATATAAAAAATTATTAGACGTTAGTTATTAGACATTAGTAAAAATTAGAGTGTTATTTTCTTTCTCTAGTCTCCTCCATGTGCAGTTATCCATGAAGATGGTCCAAAAACTACGTACAGTGGATTAGCCGTTGATTTCATCACAGCTTTATCAGATGAGATGAATTTTACGTATGTCACATCAAACTTAGTTGTATAAAACTAATGAGCTTATCAAAAATTAATAAAAAATTATTTTCTCATTACAATGTGCGAAAAATTCCTTCTTAAAATGGGTCGTCTTCGAAATCAATTATATAAAATTATTAACTGTTGTTATGAAATATATAATCCTCTAAATATGCTGTTAATTATTATTGCTCGTATTGATTGGTATATTTATTGATAGATAATTAAAAATAACTATAAAATGCTCAATTAAAAACTAAGTATAATATAAGTTTAATATTTTAATCTCTCAAAATGTTATACCTTTAAATTTTTTAAGTATTTCAAATTATCACTGTTTATTTTATCCAAAAACTTAAATCCATTTTTAAGTTGTACTTCATAATGTTTAAGGAAGACTTGGATATCCAAGGAAATCGTATTCAACTTAAACGATTATCAGATAGTTCTGATTAACTATGATTGGATAAATTAATTTTGCTGTTACGGATTATTGGAATGACATTAGAAGTATAGAACTGTATGGTACTTTGTGCATGTTCTATACAATTTTTGTATCATTTTGCATAAAATTGAATTATTTTAATCAAAGTTTAATATAGTCCAAAAAATCTCCTCTTACCTTCTTTTGCACTAATGAAGAAAAATATCCGAAGTTTTATGACTTTTAAAATGTTTGAGTAAAGGTTAGTAATCTGTATTAAAAAAGAGCATGAAAAGCTACCGGAATGATATAAGAGTCAATTTTGTTACACATTGAAAATTAACGCAACTGAAAAATAACCACAAAGATAGATATTTTTGAGCAAGTTAAATCACTATATCGTTCAAAGGAGCCCGCATAAATCTTATGGAAATTATTCTTTGTGAAATTGAAACTCAAACATGAAAAGTGCTACCGAGCATTTTTTACGACTAAGACCGTTTACCATATCTATTATGTTTGAGACTCCGTATCTTGGAAACTATCCATTTTTGTCAATGAGAAATATTGCCCAGATTGTTTAAAACTACATCATACTAAATTTTCATCCAATTTGACAGCGAATTAATTCACGTAATATTTCTGCACGGTTCTTTGAGATAGCACTTATATGTCATGATATTAACCATAATAAGACTACATCAGCCATATTGTTGAACCATATTATCGTTGTACTTAAATTTGATTACTCGATACCATGATCCATCTCGGATAAAAATATGATTCAGCTTAACGCCATGCTGAATTTACACCAAATTTGCATCTTAATATGGTTAAAAGTATCGATATTATGGGTCAAAGTTGAACTGATTTTTTGGGAATGTAATATCAGCAACAACAAAAAAAGATATTTTAATATTTTTTGCATATATAAACAATTAAATAACAAACGAAGTAAAAATAAATAATCTGTGAAATCCAATAATATAGATTTTAAAAAAACTTACTTAAGATTTTAAACAATTCTACTTCAAATAATGTTTTTTTCTTTTTCTTAATAAAACTGTTATTTAAATCTTGCGTCTTCACTTATGTGGCCACAAAGAAACTTATACGATCAATGTGCTCGATTTAATTAATCAAATTCACATGCTTAAATATATTTTTTCTTTTTCTAATGAATCTACTAATAAAAGTATAATCTATAGGTATAATTTCATCGCTCCACCTGAAGAGCAATCTGGATATAAGAAAAGGAATGGTGAATGGACTGGATTAATAGGACAAATAACACGAGGGGTAATTCAACTTCTAAGACGAAACATTTCATTGAATGGAGAAAAAAAGTTTGCCATAAATGTATTTTTTCTTATCATAGGAAGTAGAATTTGTTGCCCACTGCTTTTTCGTGACACCGGAGCGGCTCGAAGCAGTTAATTTTACACATGCAGTAGATATAATGGCTTACACATTTCTGACGAAAAGACCAGAACAAGAACATAAATATTTATTTTTAGCACCATTTACAAACGATGTAAGTCCTAATTCAGCCTTATTTCCAGATCTAAAATAAATAAATTATTCAAACTATTTTAAATAAATTTTCTAAAACTCATTTTTGAAAAAACAACTTTCTCGTAGGCATAAACTTGCAGAAACGAAGTCTTGTATGAGCATTATCTCGTAAAGAGGAAATCTCATGTGGGTATCGTCTCTGTAGAATTACATTGACAATTCGGCAACGTCAAAAGTTAGCTAATAACAAATGCTACTGTAATGCTAATTCTTATCTTCGTGTATTTTATAATCAAGAGAGTCAATCAATACGATATTTTGTGTGTATGAGAGTCTGTCCCAGCGATAATTTGTCCTACGAAATTGTATTCACGCGAAATTTTGTCATTATAGGGATACATTCACGCGATATTTGACCCAGCGAGAATATGTCCGGATTAAAATATGTGCATTAAAAAATTGACTCTACCGTCAGATAAGAAAACATTACTATTTTGCATTTGCGATTTTCGAATTTGAATGTATCATTCAAAAATCTCTAATAGTATACTGGAAACGAAACGTAAGAAAATACTTGCGATAGTCATTGCGAAACGTAAAAAAGACATTCACAAATGGTTTTCAACGGTTCAGAAGTTGCGTCAGTTTTGTTAGAACATCTTGTTAGAAGGAAAATATAATCAACCCAAATAAATTACATTAAATGGAGAAACATACGCAAATTTTTCTGCTACTAAATTTTAAGAAAGTTAACTTATTGTTAAATATTTCTTTATTGTATGTGCTGCTGTCTTTTACGAAGTAAATTATATTTGAGGTGATAAGAGTGTTTTTAGTATTGCGTATTCCAAATCTGTTCATTGAATTTAATCATTAAAAATGACTTTATATCTAGCAAAAAAGACGAATTTATATTTGAGTTTTATTGTTCACCCCATAAATAAGGAATGGGTTTAGCAAACGTAGATTTTTTTCAACATTTTTAACTGAAATAATTTTTTTTTTTAAATATTACTCTACCACTCATTAGTTTCAATAAACCTTCGTGGGTTTCTATTAAATTTATTCTTTCATCAAAAACGGTAATTCAATGTAATATGCAAGAAGCTGCTGTTTGTAAAGCAACTTCCATTAATATCTGTAACAAAACTTGGTAGCAAAAAAAATGGGGGGAAATATGTTTTTGGTACTTTCCCAAATTTTCCGAAAACAAAAATGTTACAGCCGAGTTGTATTTTATCCCTACATCATATATTGAAAAATACAGATGAAATTTAAACAAAATAAGGGTCAGAGACCACAGTACAACCTTATTAAACTTCTTAGGCATCAAAGATATACATATTACAAGCCTAAATCATGAATGGTAAGTAGATCAATGCAATTGAAATAAAATTGTATCCGAAACTTTCAAGGAATGAACAAAAAAGATTCGTTAAATGTGTGAAACGGAGCTCGTCTCATAATGAGGGGACCTGAGTTCGAATCTCAGCTATAGCTGATTCCCGATTCGCACTGTCCACATTGCTGACGTAAAATATCCTCAGTGGTAAACGGATCATTGGTAAGAGTACCCTTGCTGTCAGTCTGATCGTGGGTGGTTCTCTTGGTTTTCCTCCCCATGTAAATCAAAACCAGGTTAGTTGTATCAAAAAGTCCTCCAAGAAGGCAAATTTTATCCGATTCTTGATCCATGAATTTCTTTGTCTTCTGGATTGGATTCAAAATTCGAAGGATACGGAGATGAACATTGTAAGTCGTAAATTCATAATTAGGTCGGCTGTTCAACGACAGTTATAAAATAAAATGTGTGAAGCTGTGATCATGTCTAAAAAAGTTACTTTAAATGAAGGAAAATTTTAAGACAAAATTAATGTGTTTGACTGAATTAAAAAGACTCTATTAATAAGATAATTTTTTTTTTGTTTGTTTAGAAATTTGAGGAAAAAAAGCAATGCGTATATTGAAATAATTGAGTGGTAGTGTAAATATTTCTGGTTTAGTTGAAATAGCGCTGAAATAATTCTTTAAACTTTTATATAAAAAAAATAGAGTTAATTTATATTTACAAAAAAAATTAATAAGTTCGTTTTCTTATAAACAAATTTAACATCTTGTTTCTCTTTCTGTTATGTGCAGACATGGCTTTGCGTTTTTATTACTGTATTGATCGTCGGACCAGTATTATGGCTTGTTCATCGAGCAAGTTATTACTATAGGTTTTACAACTTAGTTGAGAAAGGTGGTCTTTTTGATTTTAGCAATTGTGCGTGGTACGTATTTGGTGCTATTGTTCAGCAAGGTAAATACGATTTTCGTTTGTCTCAAAATTTCTAGAATTAAGTTTTTAAAATTATTGATGCGTTTCAAGTTTACCATTGGAACAAAAAAGAACATCACAAATCCAATGTTTAAAATTAGGTTGATATTTTTTTTAAAATCAGACAAGGAAAAAGAGTATAGAAAAATATAAACTTTTTAATATTAAACAAGGAGCTGAAAATGAAAAAAATACTTAACAATCAGTAATAAAACTTAAAGGAGTCAGAATGTGATAGTGCAGTATTGTATATAACATATAATAAATTTTCCTGACTTATATTTCTTTTACTCTAGTGATATTTTTCAGTAAAAAGTTTAATTCAAAATAATAAAAACATAAATGTAACATTAAATTCGAGTTTTTTTTCAAAATATACAGTTTTTATTATATTCTAAATAGTTTTTGCTCATTATTAAGAATTGCTCGCCCTCTAAAGCTTAAGTTTTAAGTATTTTTTGAACAATTCTAAATTAATATATTTTGCTTTTAAGCGAAATGATCTTTGAAAATTATCTGTTGTTGATTGACAAATAAGGTTGAATTTTTCAGTGCTCAAAGCTCAAATCAGCAGAAAAATTATAAAGAAAAATATTTAAAACTGTATTTATAGAAAACACTGCAGTATTTGCAGTACTCATTTTATGAGCAAACAATACAACAAAAAATCAAATCACTTAAATAATTTAAAACGAAAAATCATTTAAAACGAAATTTTCTCCTATTAACGTGAAAGTCTTAATATACAGTAAATCATTACATAGAACATTTTTAAAAATTATTTTAGTTGTACAATATTTTTTTATAAATACAAATAGTGTCCATTTACCGTAAGAAGAGGATTGACCTTCAGAAAGTATTTTTCTTTTTTTGTATCAATTTTTGCAAGGTACGACCGTTAATTTTCAAGGCTGATCTAATAACTTTTGAAAATTTCGTGGGAAATGCTTTGTCATTTGATATGTTTCAAAGAACTTCCTCCTGCCATAATGTACTTTTGTACTTAGACGTAAAATTTGCAGGAGCAACTTTCAAAGTCCTCATTCGAAATTTTGGGAAGAGTTGTTCTTTAATTCCGACATTTGTATTTTCTTGATGGCTTCAACATCTTGAAGTTTTTGAGATGAATCATACACTATTCTCTTCGGACAAATCTCCTCCAGACATTTTGTTTCCAGAAGTGAAAAATTCCAAACGAACAAAGATGTCAGAAAAAAAAAAACCATTCCGAAAAATGACTTAAAAAGTTATTTTTGAAACTTTTGTAGGTCGAGTAAACAAAATGCTAATGCATTTTGCATTTTGGTTAATCGTTTTTTTTTTTTTTAATTTTTTTTTTTTTTTTTTTGCACGCTACACTTTGAGTGGTATTGATTTCAAAACATATTAAATGGGTGTGTAATTTACACACTATTATCAGGAATTATCAGATCAGTCCTGGAAGTTAATATCCTTATCATCTATAATTGATTCCATGTAATTGTTATTACATTGCAAAAAAAAAAAAATTCCCGAAACGTCTCTGATTGTATGGGGCAGCTAGGGTGCATGTAGTTTTCCGAAACGTTTCTGAATATTTCGGAAACCTCCTTTCGTAATAATAAGAAACATTTCGCAGTACTTCAGAAATATTTTAAATAGTTTCTTGCAGTTTCGGATTTTTTTTTTTAATATTTCGAAGTGTTTCCTTTAAGCTTTTCTTAATATTTTTAAAACTTCCTGTTTGAAGGCTAACAACAATTTTAACCGTCATCTATCAAAAGATACCTCAAGATAAAATCGAGTTAACATGTCTTATATACTAGTGAATTGGAATTTAATAGTTATAGTGGTAGCTACGTTCTGAATAGCTACACTCTGGAACTAGTGGCAGCTGCACTCTGGGTGGCAGCTACATACTAGTGGTAGCTACACTCTGGAACTGAATAGGAGTCAATATGATTCAGTTTCCTACTTTTAAAAATAAAATAAATGTTTCTCAATTGATCGGAAACATGATATTAAATGAAGTTCTTTGAAATTTTCGGAAGCATTTTTGTCTTGTCAAAATTAGTTTCCGAAATTTTTTAAAGTGTATTTTCTCATTTTAACAGATTTATTCTTACCATGATTTAGCCTTCAGTCGTCCTCTTACGCTAGATTTACAGTTTCATCATGATTGTTATTTAATTACTGAAATATTAATCGGCATTATACTTTATAATACCCTAAACTATCTTATAGGGTTACACTTGGTTTGAATTTTTATAGGTGGAATTCATTTACCACTCGCATATTCAGGACGTATATTAGTTGGTTTTTGGTGGCTATTTGTAATAGTCACCGTAGCAACATACAGTGGAAATCTTGTTGCTGTTTTAACATTCCCGAAAATAAGGAGTCCAATCAACACGTTTGAAGATCTATTAGCAAATCAAAGAAGCATTAAATGGGGCGTTCTTGAAGGTGAAGGACTTATTGAAAAACTAAGAGTAAGTCTTTGTTTTTAATTTAACTAATTTATTTTTTTTTGTCGTGCCTATGACATAGCCGAATCAAATGTTTCCATGAGTCTTAATTACTGCTTCTGCGATTTTCTTGATGATAACATCAAGAAAAAAGGTCGTCATAAAGGTCAATCAATGACGGCAAGACTCCTATTTCTCTCAGATTAGCACTCATTGCTGGACACTCAATGATATGGCGTGGTGTCAGCTGTGTATCTGGGCAGTTTTCACAATTCCTATATACTTTCCTGCCCTCTCTGTCGATCTTCATGTCTCTGTGGTGATTGGTTCTCATCCTGGCTATAGTTTTTGTTGTGGATTTATCTGCATTTACACTACAAATCATGTGTTTCGTTGGAATTGATTTTTCTCTTAGTTTAGATTTAGCAATTGCATTTGCATCTTGGATGGAGACGTTACAGTTATTAATGTTGAGATTTCTGGCTTCCTTGGCTAATTTATCTGCATTTTCATTTCCTGCAATGTCAACGTGTGCTGGTATCCACCGAAGAGTACAGGTTCTGCTTAAGTCCTGAAGTTCATGAAGATTTGAAATGATTTCTTGACTGATAGAAGAGTCCCCTTTTAAAATTGCTTGGAGGTCGGTCTTCGAGTCGCAGAAGATAACAAGGCCCTTTGCTTGCTCAGAGGGGGGAAGGGCTTTATACATGTTAAGGGCCTCTAAAATTGCCCGTAGCTCGCAGGTGAAGTTAGAGGCTGTAGCGCCTACTCCAAATTTACCTTGTTACGGGGAATTACTTAAAGTGGTTAAAAACACTCCAGAGCCTCCATTTGTTATAGTTTTGTGAGGGGAGCCATCTGTATATGCATGTACAAAGTTCTCTTTTGGAAACAGTTTAAAATTGAACTAATAAATTGTAAGAATAAAAGAGAAAGACAGGAAATTCCCAACATTGTTATTTTCAACAATTTGAAGACAAAAGTGAAGAAAAGTTGCTAGTGTGATTTTTCTCCACAGAAAATGTGTAGTTCCTACGCGTATGCGATTAAATAAGGCTAATAGTCATCTAACGATTTATTCGTCTCACGTAGATGCTGCTAATTACTTTTATAGCAATAAGTGACATTTTTACTGCAATTTCTCTCTGAATTTATAATTTGGCCTGTACAGCTTTTTAAATTCTTTTCTTCAATTACAGTGGGGAACAAATCTTTTGTTGCATTCATATAAATATATGATCTTACCCAATTCGGGTGTGGGGATTTCAAATCTAAAATTAGTGTTTTGCACATCAACTAATTATTTCTTTAAATAACTTTTTGAGTCAATTTTTTACCGAAATGTACAAGATCAAAAACTTTACTTGTAGCAGAGTGTCGCGTAAAAGTTGCGACAAACTTCTTGGGGAACTAAGGCACATCATCAGGATTAAAATGGCATAGCAACTCGCGTCGTCGTGCGCCGCTTAAGACACTTCCCAACTGTTTTTTCGTGTGCTTCTGAGCAGGTCATAATAGGGAAGTGCCCCTAGCCACGTATGATGAAATTTCTGATCATGATTTCCTATGTAATTCAAATCTTGATGAAGCAATTTTGATCCGCTTCTCTATTGAGACTTGCTCAGAAGCACACGAAGAATCAGTTTATAATAGAACAGCCCCCAAGTGGCATATTACACTTCTGGACACGGGATTTCATGCAATTTTTAATTCTGAGGACTTGTCCTAGCTCCCCTAGAAGCTTTTGCAGCCTTTATGTGACCCCCTGCCATATATAACATTTTTAAACTTGTAAATTTCTTCAAAAAAGGTCATTTTCAAAAAAAAAATGCTACTTGGACATTCAAACTGATTGTGGATTTGATATCAATGATACTAAACTATCTAAGATCCATTAAATTTGCAATAGAAAAAAAATTGTTCCCCACAATCATTTTTCTGGCTTTTTTTATCACTCATATTGATACTATTATTTTTTGTGATTCAGACTTCAACATCAGAAACTTATAGAAACGTTGGAAAGCGATTGGTTATTCTCAAACAAGATGACAAACCAAAATGGATGAAGAAAATAAAAGATAATGATCTCGTACTTATAGCTTCAAGATTTGAACTGCTTGAAATAATGGGTAAATCATACAATGAAACAAATAAATGTTATTATGCTGTTGGTGCTGTTGATGTTCATGCAGAAAGCGTCTCACTAGCAGTTCGAAAAAACTGGCCATACTTAGAGCATGTAAATTCTGAGTAAGTATTTAAAGTAATCATATGAATGTTACAAAAATATCCTTTTTTTACTAGAAGTACATTTATAAAAAAAATATTTATGCAACCATACAGATAAATTTTATTAAGGCTCTAAATTGAAATATGAAATACACCGAAGAGCCATTATATTATGACCACCCTCCATCTATAACAATGGGTTCGCCCAGGTTTTCATGGTTTCGACCAGGAACAATGTTTTCATGGGGCACATTAGGACCCATAATCCTCATAGAACAATCCCTCACGTCTATAAGCTACTTGAACGTAGTTCACCCATTTATGGCAACAGTTTTTCCTGCAGGGGATGGTGTTTACCAACAGGATAATGCACCATGTCATGAGGGTCAAATCGTCATGGATTGGTTCGAGGAACATTCCAGTGACTTTCAAGTCATGTCATTGTCCCAAATTCACCTGACCTTAATACAATAGAGCATTTGTGGTCCTACTTGGAAAACCAAATTCGTGCTGCCACGCTACCCCCTCGCAATGTGAGGGAATTGCAGGACCAGTTGGTGAGCGCTTGGTACCAGATACCTCAGACTATCTATCAGCACCTTGTGGAATCAATGCCATGGCAGGCGCTGGCGGTTTTGAGGGTTAAAGGTGGTCCTACATGTTATTAGCAGGGTGGTCATAATGTTGAGGTAAGCGAAGAAGGTTGCGTGTTCAAATCACGTCCGGGTCACCATTGAGGTAAGCGAAGATAGCTCCTTCGAGATACTAATATTTTATTAAACATATTTACATTTATATACAAGTTGGTTTGATTTACAAGAACATCATCACGGCAAGTGATGGGAGAAATTATTGACAGGCTGTCATGTGCGAGCTGGTATTTATACAATTCTAATATGATGACATCAGAACTCTTATTTCAGTTCACTTCAAAAATAAGTAAAAACACAATTGATTAAAGACAAACAGATAACAATATGAAATAAACTTGATTTTACGATGAGCGTCGAACCTATCACCACAATGTAATGGCTCTTCGCAGTATATAAACAGTGTAAGGGGATAATAATTTTAAAAAATAAAACCAAATGCACCCTTTTCTACAAACGCTTAAAAAAGAAACAGTATTTTCAGGAACAAAAGAATTAAATTTGCTTTGGATATATTCCCGTTTTGGATAGGTATTAAAGCAATGTAAAAATAAAAAAAAGCAATAAAACTTGTATACAAAGTGATACGCAATCACTGCATTGAATATAGATTTTAAAAATTCCTGTTCAAAGCTAAATTTTAAAAAAAAAGAACATTGAGTGTTGAAAATTAACGTACTAAAGAGGAAAAAACTAAATTGTTATCAAAACCTGACGAGAAACCTCACTGTAGAGATTAAGACCTGTTTGATTATTGATGGAAATTTGGAGGAGGTGAAAGTCAATTATTAGAATCGTCATCAAGTTATATACCAGGGGTGGACAAGCTCTTTAATAGTCGAGCCATTTTTCAAAATTTGAAATTTTTCGCGAGCCGCAGTTAAATGCGTATTTAAAAGGTATGCAAAAAAGGTATTAAAAAAAAATTTTTTGCAGAAATTATATTTATTGAAAACATATAAATAAAAGTACAAAATATGTGTATTGAATTTAATTATTAAAAATTAAACACATTTATTTTACTTCTCTTAACAATTCTTTAAAATTTGGTGAATAATTGGTGACAGCACTTCTCAGTAATTCTTTGAGATGCTGGTTAGTTAATACTGATTGGTGTTCGGATTTCACGAATTTTAAAGTGGAATAAAATGATTCACGTAAGTACGTTGTTCCGAATATTGAAATAATTAGACAAGCAGCCTTTTTTAATTCAGGATGCTTCGATTCTGGTACAAAATTCAGTAATCGACGTCGACTTATATTTTAATTGTAGAGCTTGATCGTCTTGCATCTCTATTAATTCTAATTCTTCAGATACTTTTTGGGTCATAATTATATTGGAAATGGAAAACTCTCCTTGAATTATGTTAATTTCAAATGGGTTCAGAAAAATAATGAAATATAATAGCACAAAAATGAAAAGGGAACTCGGGTACATTTATCGAGAGCCACAAATAATCCTTCAAAGAGTCACATGTGGCTCGCGAGTCGCAGGTTGGCCACCCCTTACGATAACCAAACAAACTATTCTTGATGGTTTGAATCAAGCTTTCCTCAATAAAGTTTCGATAAATCTTAAGAGGCTTGGCTTCTTCCCCGTTAAATTATTAGCATGTGATTTCTAATGGGTACAGTTTTTTGACACACCGCTAGAATTTTCCTTCTAAATTTCAGTGAAATTAGCGAGCAGCAGACCTCCCATCCAATTAACCGCAAAATTTATGGTTAGGAACATTTTTTACCTTTACGGTTTTGAAACAGTCTACAACTAGTATCGTTTCGAAACTGTAAAAATAAAATATAACTGGACATTGGGGTCACACTATGTTAGGTTTTCCGTTGGAGAAAGGATATTGGAGTTTAGCTGTAGTTGAGTTGTGTTTTATCAAATGAAATGTGACTAAATTAGCTTATATTTTGCTGCCATCTATCGAGAGAAAGGGGGCATACTAGACATTTTTGTACTAAGCAACTCTGTGGTGCTGCCATCTACACGTGAATGTGAGTTTCGTATTCTAATAGTCCAGGGTCACCGATTGGAGAGTTCAAGACACTAGAAACTCTTCATGTGTTGAAGAAATGGAAGATATATTGCGGTTTTAACAACTTGATACGAATACCCGTTCATTCGGCTATAATATTGGCAGATTAGCCCTCTCAGCTATTGTATGCACTTGGCATCAAGATATTATGTTGCTTCATAAGATGGGCCTAGTTCACGTTGGTAAAATTCTGGTTGTTAAACCGTAAAAGGTGAGAACTATAAATAAACAATAATTTCTAACATTTTTGACCAATAATCTTAAATTTTGTGTTAATATGGTAATTACAGTGAATTTATTTGTCAAGTCACTATTTTTATTATTTATTATCGACTTATCTCTATTAGAAACTGTTACTAATGATTTCCCCTATGAAATTACTCACACAGATGAGGGGTTTTGTTTGCGATTGCAATTTAAAAAAATAATTGGAATTAAAAAAAAATTTAAAAGTAAGCGACTGCTTTTTTTTTCCAGATAGAACGAATATATGAGTAGGTGGTTTTCAATAAAATTAAACAAAATCTTATGACTTGAACATTTAAAAAAATGATTAAGTTCATAGAAAAAATTATCCAAATGACACGAACTTTGACTTATACACTCAAGACTTTAAACATATTTACTAATTTTAAGGAAAAAAATACTTTTTCGGCAACTAGAACATAAAATATGTATTTTTGTAAACAAAATTATTCGAAAATTCTCATAAATTTCGAGAAATATGAATAAAACTTTATATTTCAGTATTGAGCCGAAAATTATTCTAAAAACAGTTATTCGTTTCCGATTTTAGTAAAAAGTGTTTCTTTTACACTTATTTCATTATTTATTTTGAAGAACTTATCTCATCCTTACTATTTAATACAATAATCAGTTACCTCATAAGAGGGTAAAAGTTCTAAGTACTTATAAAAATACGAAACATAATTTTATGATGTAAAAATTACACAGTGTTTCGTAACCACAGCCTCTAATATACATTTACTAAATCCTCGTTAAATATCGAATAAAATAAGCATGATTATTAGGGATAACAAATTTCAGTTACAAATTCAGATAGAAAATTCATTCTAGAAAAGAGAAGAAAACAAAAATATTAAGAAAATCTATCGAATAATTATTGAAGAAGGCGAGAATAAAATATGAAAATAAGTTTTATTGCCGAATTAAATTTGAAGGCTTTTTTGATTTTTGCTTCCACCTAATTTGAATTTTCACAGGCAATCAAACATATTTTAATATTTTTCAATCTCGTTTTCCTTATTAACTACTCAATTAAAATTTTCCTATTCCTTCGCTTAAATAATAATTTGTGACCGTTAATGTGTATATTTGCTTATACACATTAGAGTAAAGAGTGTTTTGGACAAGAGTCATAAAAATATATATTAAGGGTGGTGATAACGGGACACCAAGTATAATTTCTACCAACTCTTAAAATAAGTGACAAGCTTGTAATCCATTGCGTTTTTATCTTTTTAGGGTAGAAAGATTATTTGAATGTGGCATTTTTCTAAAATGGAAAAGAGATGCTTCTCCACCTGATAATGAATGTACATTGGCATTAAAACCACAAGCAGGAGATACCAGAGAAATTAATGTTTCTCAAATGGTTGGATCTTTCTATATTTTAATGTTTGGACTATGTGGCTCAATTCTTTTCCTAATGTCAGAACTTGTTTACATTTTATGTCGAAACAAAGGACATTTCCCGGCTAATATGCGTGTTATGCATTCAAAGAGATCCAAATTTATAATTCCCTTCCTGAATGCAGGATCCCAAAAAATTAATAAAAAAGATAACTTTATGCAATCTAGAATGTATCCTGGTATAAGAGATCTTGATAAAGTGAAAAACAGAAAGCAGAAAAAGAATGCTACTTCATTTAGCAATGGTACTGATAATAGAGGTAAGAATAAGTAAAAATATAGCACGAAGTAAGATATCTTATCGTGAGTATTGGTGTGCAATAGCAATTAATAATTCATTTACGTATTTTAGTTGCACTTAATAAATTAAGAATTTTATAGAAGACTTACAAAAATGAGGAACCTTATGGTCTCGATTGTTATTTCTAAGATTTCTTTTTAAATTTGAGGATTTAAAGAAAAAAGGCAAAATTTATAAAGATATTTTTAGCACTTTTTTCATTATTTTGAACTAATTTAGTTCAAAATAATTGAAAATGTTATGTTTAGCATTTTAATAATTTATGGCTGTGAAATACATCATTAAACACCGTTATTTTTTTCTACGTTAAAGGTAACAGCAATAGAGGTTCCAAATACTTTTTTCTACTTATTTTTGACACTATAACACCTTAAATATATAAATACCTTAAATAGTATTAGCTTTTATCTCTAGAACTATGTGGTGTTTTGTCAACAGCTTTAAATTTGGAAAAATGTGAAGATAAATTGATCGCTTCATTATGAAAAAACATACGATACAACTCTTATGTCTCTTCCTTACTGAAATTATGATCCAAATTTTTCTGCAGATAAAGTAATTTAGATGCATTTCTTTTTTCATTTTCATTATTTATGTAGGTAATTATAAACAAATAATTGAATCCTTGATAATGAAAAAAACTGATTCTTACTTGATCAGTGACAAGGTTTCATGAAATATTGCATTTGTCTCAAATATTCACCTTTCAAAACTCCGGCACAAGAATAATTCTTTAACACTGATTTGAAAATTTACAAGATTTGATTTTTGTGAATTTAATGACCATTTTCATCAGATAAAACCGAGATAATCATCACAATTTGTAGGGGAATTTTTTGTTTCAGGAACACATTTCAAAAATCATAACGAGTTTTTACCTATTCTTTCCGTAAACATTTTTACAAATGTTTCTTCTTTAATGTTATTCCTTGATTTTCTTCAACTCACAAAAACTATACTTTTAAACTAAGTACTTTTATTGTAAAATTAAGTACATGTGCTTTAAAAATAAGCACTGTAGCACTTATAGAAAAACCTAGAAATTAAAACCCTTCTTTGAGGAAATAGAAATTTCAAAATTTAATTTTTTGATAGGATAAAGTGAAGAACATACAAAAAAAGAAAAAGCTATACTTGACCTATGCATATAGTTGACCTTAAACGGATTATTTTTCTTTTTTTTTCAAATTTTAAATCCTGAATTTCATTTTACTTTTTTGTCTTTATTTGATTTCTCTATTTTAAAAATAATCTACTTTCGTGCTTAATTTTAACGAATAAAATATTCTTTTCCTTATATGCATGGATGGTTGGTACAATACACGAGTATTATACTTATAATTATACATTGAGAAACTTATTGCTATTATTAAATTAATAAGTTTGTAATTTTTCTGTAGAACTTACATCAAAACTCAAGCATTTCAAATTTATCAATTACTTAATTGTCCAACTTCTTGTCCGTGATTTAACCCAACATATAGCAAGGATCGCTTAAAAGAAATATTTTTGCAAAAAGCTAATAATTAATTTATATATTATATGTCTTAAAATAATCCCAACGAAAACTTTATTTAAGAACGGAGAAATACCGTAAACTGAGTCATCGGAACTGTTCTCTTTTCACGGACTATTTTTTTACAGTGTAACATGTAAAAAAATACATGAATGCATTTTTTTGAGTTTCAAATTCTGTTCTGTTTTATTAGGATTCAGCAAGGATGAGTGGAATAATCGACGCAGCACTATGAATTCCGACGTAAGATTAGATGAATACGGACGAAGAGACATCTATAACAATTACGACAGTGACAATGCTGAAAGGACGAATTTTGGAGGAGAATATACTAATAACAATTCGTTCGCAATTAGAAGAAGTTATGAGAATGCTGAAAGAAACACTCAAGCTAATGAGCAATCAAGATATGGAAATAATGATTCATATTTCACTTACGAAAATGGGGATCATCAGCGTCAATAAGAAAGATGATTCTCAATGAATAATTTAAACATAATATATATTTTTGCTTTATACAAGACGCTTTGCAACAGCATTTTTATGTAAAGAAATGTAAAGGCGTTGCACGCGGCGAAAAGTGAAAAATTTAGATTAGATACTTGTTTATATGAAGCATTGTCTTTATAAATATTTATCATAATTTTCTTTGTAAAACGAAGAATTAATAAAATATGCCTTTTTCACTTTCTTTAAGTTTCATTCTTTTCTTTAATACGTGGCGTGTCCAGAAGGTAACTCCTACGCGTTCTACGTGCACAGTGGGCCAGCATTCAAGGTCTCGTGGCCAAAATTAGTATTTCGATAAAATTTGTTTCAAAATTTGGGGGGTTTTATTTAGGAGCTTTTATGTGCAGGTGAATTGAATTCATAAATAAAATTTTGAAATACACTAAAAATACCCCAAAAAACAAAATGGCGGCTGAAATATGGCAAGCAAATATTAAAAAAAATAATATAGTACGTTTAAATAATTAAATATAGCAATGAAAATACAATAATTTTCGTAATTTTATATTAAAAATGAAAAGCAAATTATATTTCCGAAGTCATATTACAAAATAACGCGAATTAATTACAAAATAACGCGAAAACATGAAGAAGAAAAAACTTAATTTCTGTTTTTCGGTATATTTAGTCCACCTTTGCAGTACGGGCAAAATGGGGCAGTTTTTTTCGAAAGAAGAAACATCAAAGAAAACAACAACAACAATTGTTAGCTAATTACCTCGTGGAACTTTTTGGAACTAAGTTTCGAAATTCATTCAAACATTATAAAATGTCAAATAATAGGATATAAACTATAAGTTTGTCTAGAGTATTAACTAATCCAACAAACTGAAAAATTGTGCTATAATTTCAAACTAATTACTCTGATAAAAATGTAACAGTATGATTGAATTCCTATATATATTTCTGAAATAAAAATTTAAAAGTTGCATTTAAAAAAAAATTTAACATATTTTTCATTACATTGTACTCTTGTCGGTCCAAAAAGTAAATTATAATGTTTGGAATGAATATGAATACTTAATTTGGGTTATATTTAAACTGCCTACACATATTTTAGTTGAAAATTTAATTTTTGACTTTTGGCCAAAGATCATGGTCTTCTGGACATGGATCTTCACAAATTTCTCATATTAATTTTTTGTCCACTGACATCATTACGGCCGGATTGATTAGTGTTTGCGTAGTCAGAATGTGTCAGATATAGTCTAGTGTCAGGAATAAAACTTTTACTTTTGATGATTCAGTAATCTTTGAATTGTATATTATTAGTTTTGAGAATTATTTCCTAACGAAATCATGTGATTTGGGATAAAACGCGAACTCTCATATATTTGACGAAAATGCTTCCTCAACTCGGAACCTCATCACAGTGCATTGTGGGAGATGAGGACTACAAGATCGAATATAAAGTGACGAACTAAGCCGACCGGACTGTATGGTGGTCAAGAAGTCGGCCTCGTACCGGAAAGATCCCGGGTTTGTATTCCGTTTTAATTTATCTCTTTCTCTCTGCCCTTCTTATGATGTATGGATGACATTGTTCCAACTATATGGTGCCCACGATAAAGTGATGACTAGAAAAGTTAGATACAAGAGGCCTTTTTTTCTGGAATAATAGAATGACAAAATATTTCTATAATTTTGACGAAATTCCTTTCTTCGAAAAACTGTCAATAACATATAGTACTAGGAAACGGCTTCGTCAAAAACAAAGTAAGAAAAACGTGAAAATTGAGCATCTATTTCTTACAGTGCGAGAGTTAACATTTTTTAAGACGATTACCAATCCAGTCAACTGTGAAGGAGCGTTCTATGCTACGGTTTGGCAACGAATGTTAAGTCAGTTAAAATTCATTGTCAATTTTCTCAGATTTATACAGGGTTATTCATAAATCCCTCCGGGGTTTCGAAGCGTATAACACTACAACTGGCTTCAGTGGTACATGCTACTGCCATCCACCGGCAACTGCTTAAATTATTATTTTTTTCACCAAAAACGCAACATCAACACATAAAAGATAGACTCTGAATGTTTATGCATTAGGCCGCTAATATATTACGACTGAAAAAAAACCTATAGGTGCAGAAACATTTAAGTAAATAAAATTTCTAAGTAAGTTGACAACTTGTGGAACGAAACTTTATGGAACACTTAGACAACAGCTCAATTTATAAATGAGCAATTTATTTGTTTATGCCTGTTTGGTACTAGATAATTAGGTTCAAATTAGACAGATGGTCAGTAAAACGTGGTCATTAACAGGTTTCACTGTCTTTCTTTACCTCGATCATTCAACTACGCGTAATGATACATATGCGTTATTTTTTATTTTCCCTTTTATATTATCATACTTGATATGATGAGATTTTTAGAAAATGTTCAATTTTTTTTGTTTTTGTTTGATAGTAAATATATTTTATTTTTCCAGTTAGAAGTACAGTTAACCTTGAAAAACACATGAAAATACCTGTTTTTAACTCAAAATGCATTAATTTAAGGCAAACTACTAATACAATCACAAAAATATCGTAATAGAAATTATTAATGCATTATTTCATCTTTTTTAAATGTTCATTTTTTAAATGTTTTTTTAAATGTTGCTAACGCAACACAATTATCGAATCTAAAAAGATCAATCTATTCTAAGCTTATTTCATAGACATCACAAAAGACATCACAATTGACATCACACAAAAACTCCTCATAGATATTTTTTATGCTTTTATTTATTTATTAATTTTTAATGAATTGAACCAAAACTAACACAACATAGTTACCTAATGCGAAATGGTTAACCTATTCTAAATTTACTCAAAAGTCATAAGGAAGATTCCTACATCCTTTCAATTTTTGTTCGAATTTTTTACATATGTATTTCAAAAGTTTTTTTTTTCAATTAAAAAATATACTTCAAGCTATCGTTTTTTTTTTTTTTGTTTTTTTTTACGATTTTTAGAAAAAGACATCTTAAAAGATAAATGGAATTCATGTTCGTACTTTGCTGAATAAAAACATTTAACCAGACAGCAATTTGAAACTGGAGATACTATATTTCATGCATTTAAGACACGACGTTAAGAACATCGTGGAAAATATTTGAAAAATTTGTTCTAAATCGCGAATTTCCCACTTCCCTTCCTGTGTCTCTGTAATATATTTACCTATAAAAGCATATGCCTTTCAATTGGTTGAACAACAGGTTTAAAAAAGATCCTCAATGTCTACTGCTTCATTCCAAAAGAAAAAAAAAACAATACTGGATACGCTTGCCATTCAACAACACAAGTAAAAAATTTATTAATAAAAATTTTATTTTTAACGGGAATATGTAACATGCAGTGTGGCTTAAGAACCATGATGAGCAGGTACTTGACGAATTAGTATCAGTATTGGTACTTAAATAATCTAATAACAAGAAAGTTTAAAGCTTTGCGAGGTTTGAGAGAGTGACAATAAATTGCAGGAGAAAGCAAGTATTTTTGAACACCTTACGCCAGAAAATCAAGCAATAAGCTTGTAACTTGTAATAGATTACTTTGGTTGTTATTTGCAATAACTGCATAAAATTTTATTAATCTAGCTTAAAGCAGATACGAACATTTTTATATAAAAAAACTCATTTTTCTGGTCGTATGTTTTTTCGCTATAACTTTGAAAGTATTCAGTCAAATGAAACAAAATGAAAAAAAGTGCTTTTATGTGACACTGAACTTATTTCATTCCATTTTGCAGAATTAGATATTTTTGAATTTAACAAAGTATTAAACTCCTGAATTGCAACATTTAAATGTAGATATTTTACCACACGTTCGGCAGATAATTTAGTTTTACAGATCAATTTAAAGGTTTCTTCTACTAAGTTAGAGGATAAACCCATTATGAGAATAATTTAGGACCTAATCAAGTAACAACAAATTTAATAACATATTAAAATTCAAACTCCTTCGAAAGATTTTGTTTTACATCAGAAAATATATTATACTATTTGGCGTTATTTGTTTGTAAAACTGTTTAGATTAGGAAGTGTTTTAAGTGGCTAAATGTAAAATTCTTTCTAATAAAAGAGACGTAAAATCATATTACTTCTTAATAATAAAAATGGGCGTTCAGCAGGCAATCGCAAAAAAATTCTTTCGTTTATAGAGGATCTTTGAATTTTCATAATATAATGAAACGGTTTCTTCATTAGTTTCTCAGATATTAGAGAATTCAAAATATCTACTACTCAAGTAGTTTTCATAAATATCAAAGATACCAATGGCTATATGAATTTGCATAACATGATGAAGTGGTGTCTTCTTTGGTCTCTCCGATGTCAAGGAATACAAAGCATTTAGTACTCAAGTATTTTTCATAAATATCAGGGACATCGAAAGCTTTAAGGACTTTCCTAATATGAAGTGATGTTTTCATTGGTCTCTCCGATATTAGAGAACACAAATTATTTACTACTCAAGTATTTTTCATAAATAGAAACACCGACGAAGTCTCCATTTTATTTATGTGTTATTTTCTTACTATCTCTATCTTTTCCAAAAGTTTTGAAAATTTGTTTCCGATAATTATAATTCAACTCTTTCCTGTCTAAACAGGCAATCAAACAGGTTTTGATACTTTATTTTAATTCATTTTATTTAAATGATTGAATTCAAGTTTATTGGGAAAAGAGTAACATCACAAAACTTCTCCTAATTGCATATCTTTGAAATAAACTGAACAACGAAAATTATGATTAGATAATGCATTTAATGCTCCAAATAGCTTTTGAAATTTACAACTCGTCATTCTCAATAGCTATTTGCGTGATTTGATCAGCGGATTTATTTTTCACACTCTTAATTATTACTTTGCGGCTCCAAATGAGTTACTTTATTGCCTTTACTTTTGAGAAGAAATCTAAAAGTATGAATGTTTACAGCTGTGCAACTGATTATTAATCTGTTCAGAACTGGCGGAGAGATAAGGAAGTGCTTCTTCTGGCTTACATGCTCCGAGAGTATCATACTCATGGGCAAGTTTCCCGTTAAGCCTAATTTCATTTAAAGATTCATATAAAATCGTTACTGCAGTTAAATGCGCTAAAATTTACAATTTATTATCTCTGTAAATACCTGAATATACTGTAAAAAACTTTTTTCTATTTAAAGAATAAATTGCAAAACTAACCCAAAGTATGC